ATAATTATTCCTCAGTAGTAGTAATGCTTCAAGTGTGCCACGTTCCAATTGTTTTGCAGTTGTATGGCATTTTCAGACTCAAGCTAATACAAGCCTTTAGGTTATACCAATAACTTTGTATGGTCCCTCCTAGTTCATGCCTAGTTTCCCATCATTCAAGTTCTTGGTATATAGTGTGACTTTCCTCAATACTAAGTCCCTGACTTGGAAGTGTTGAAGGTTTTCCCTTTGTTTGTAATATCTTCCTACTCGTTGCTAACCGGACCAAGGCGACTTCTCTCCTTTTGTCCAAAAAAATCTAGACTTGTGGCCATGGCCTCGTCATTCCATGTTTTTGTAGCATATTAGAACTTTAAGCTCGGTTCTCCCACTTTTACAAAAATCAAAGCTTATGCACCATATACTAGAGAAAACGGTGTCTCGCCGGTACTCAACCTTAAAGTTGTTCGATACGCCCATAGGACCTCGGGTAAAATTTCTTTCTACTTTGTTTTGAGTCGGTCAATCTTTTCTTCAGCTTCTACAGTATGGTCTTGTTTGTCGACTCCGCTTGACCGTTCATGCTTGAGTGATAATAATGTATTGACAAAATCTTTTTGATTTTGTGATCTTTGAAGATCTTATTGACCTTGCTGCCGATGAATTGTCTGTCACACTAGCACTCTGATGGATTCCCTTCATATTCTGCTATTGCAGATAGAAATCTTCGGTCACATTTAAGCTTTTGTGCCTGATTTTTGTCTTTGAGTTCACATTACTCCTTCTTGAGTTGGATTTCATCTCTATGGCTCATTTTCCAATACTCCTGCAATGAAGCAAATTTTATCAGTTTTTGGGAATACAATTAAACAATTTTGGACTACAAAAAAAGCAAGAAGGCGCTAATAAGTAGTCAAAATTCTCATTAATCATGGGATTCCTATCATATCTAAGTGCGACCAGGCAAAACAATCGGCATTAACTTTAAGAAAATCAATGAGTTTTTTCCTAAGCTTGAGGTTTAACCTCATGCCCAGGTATACCTTTCTTTCCGATAGGTGCTCGAACAATATGACTTGTTCTAGTTCCATAATTGTTAACTTGGTAGAATCACGGTCATTAGGTGCTACGAAAGATCTCAGAACCCCTAAGTCATCTTCCTCGTCTGTTGGACGGTCCTCCAGTTTTCCCGGCTCGATCGACGCTGAGACTTGTGATTGCTATTTGGTGCCTTTCTCTCCGATCGGTCCCTTATATTTTAAGGTCGTGATCATGGGTACAGGGATCACTTCATCAACGGTTAACAACTTCTTTGCAACCAGTTGTTCCCCAAAGACTATTTTAATTCCTCTTGGGATTGGACATTTCAACGCTTGGTGCAAGGACGATTGTACCGCCCTCATGCTATGAACCCACAGTTTCCTGAACAAGGAATTGTACCTCATGTCCCTCTGGATCACATAAAACTTTTCTTGTTGAGTGGTTCCGATCATGTTGACCGGTAAGGTGATTTTTCCCTTCGTTGTCTTGCACGCCATATTACATTTTCAGCACTGGAACTGCTGGTATAATCTGATCCAACATCCCAGTTATTCCACGACTCTCCATCGGATGATATTGGATGAGTTACCTAGATCAATTAACACAAGCTTAACTCGAGATTTATTAATGAGTACAGATATTACTAGTGCATCATTGTGAGGTTGAATGATGCCCCCAACATCCTCGTTACCAATTGAGATGGATCCTTCCGGAACGTAATCTTGAGTTCGTTTCTCTCTTGTGATAGAAACTTTGGTGTGTTTTATCATCAAACCTTGGGGAACGCCTACTCCTCCGATAATCATATTAATCACATGTTGGGGTTTTTCATGCTCGACCTGCTTGTTGGTGTCCCTGTCCTTGAAATGGTTTTTGGACCGCTCACTTAGGAATTCTCGAAGATGCCCATTATTGAACAAATGAGCCAGTTCTTCCCTTAACTGCCGACAATCCTTGGTTCAATGCTTGTGAGTGCTGTGATATTTGCATCTCAAATTATAACCCCTTTGTGCTGGATCGGACTTGAGCAGCCTCGGCCATTTGGTCTCCTTGATGCGACCAATGGCCGACACCATTCTTGTCGTATCTATGTTGAATTTATATTCTGATAGCCTTGGGACATCTCTGACTCTGGGTGATCTATCGAACCCTTTTCTATTTACCAACCCTTGATTGCTTGGACCTTGATCAATTCTTCAGTCGTTCCTGGTCGAATAGCGACTGGATCTGTTTCCCCTTCTATTTGAGTTGTAAGGCTGGTATCGGTCTCATGGTCGCCTTGACTCTTGGTCCACCACCCTTTTAGACTTGTCATTTGCTCTACCCCGAGGGGGTCCCTAATTTGTCGTCCTCGACTCTGATCTTTGACTGATACCTGTTATGGACATCGGCCCAAGTAACCGCTGGATACACTACCAAATTTTTCTTCAGCTGTTGAGATGCAACCGAACTTCAAGGGCTGAGCCCTAAATAAATGCCTGAACTACCCAATTGTCTGCAGCCGGTGGACGGTCCATCCAATCCATTTGGAATCTCGACACGAATTCCCTATGCATCTTGTTATCCCTATGCTTGACTTTGAACAAGTCCAATTTTCTCGTTTAAACTTTAATGGCCCCGGCGTGAGCTTTAACGAAGGCATCTGCAAGCATAGCAAACGAATCAATAAAGTTCTAAGGTAAATTGTGATAAATATTATCTCTCCCTTGGACAGAGTTTTCCCAAATTTTTTTAGTAATACCGGCTCAATCTCGTCATCGTCGCAGTCGTTGCCTTTTATTGCACATGTGTAAGTGGTCACATACTCGTTTGAATCTGTGGTACCATTGTATTTGCTAATATCGAGCATTTGGAACCTTTCTGGAATAGGTTTTGGTGCCGCGCTCGAGGGGAAAGGATTCTGAATGAACTTTTTGGAATCTGGTCCCTTCACTATCGAAGGTGCCCCTGGGATCTAGTCGACCCTTGAGTTGTAAGTTTCCACTTTCTTATCATTTGCCTCTATTTCTTTTTGTCGGATTCTACCCGTTTTGTCAGTGCCTCAAGAATTTTCATCACCTCGGAAGTTTCCCCAAACTTGGGCCCGTTGGGTTCTGTGACAATCCGTTCTTCCCTCCGAGCATCTTCTCCAATCCATTCGGGTTCAGCCGCATTGTGATTTTGACTCTGCAGTTGTGCTATGGCAATTTGTTGGGCTTGCAACATCTCAAAATTAAAATGCAAGATAACTCCATCACCTCCCCCTTTGGGTGCCTCTCGAACGGATGTACGAGGTACCCTGTGAACGTTGTTATTAGGGTCAGTTGGTAAGTTAGCATTGCCAGCAACTTGTGAATTGGCATCTCTTGGATTAGTAATTAGAACGCCATTAGGGTCGACAAGGGGTACGTTGTTACTTGGTACCCCATTGATTTTTCACCGTGGTGGCTTGATTCGGCGTCAACACTTAAGTGAGCAGATTGATAATCTGAGATATTGAACAGTCTTGAAATCAAACTTCAAAGAACAAGTGTAAAATAGTGTATGTTATCAAGATTCGTATAAAATTACTACTATTATCCTTAGCCCCAGGGTGGGCGCCAAACTGTTTACCCTTAAAATAGATAACAATTAAATTTATACGCAGTTTAAAGGATATTTGGTTTAATTTAGCACAAATAATCAAAGAACAGTAAATAAGTAAATTGAAATGAAATGAAACAATCAAACCAAATTGATGTAGTAATTAAGCCTTGGACTTAACTTAAGTGCAAATGGTCATTCTCGATTGAGCCTTCGAGATATGGCTCCGATTCCAATAAACGGATGAACCACTAAAGAACATTTAAACAATTGCTAAAAACTAAAGTAAATTTTATTGCCTTGATATGTGTGCCAGTAACAGTGGCCAAAAAGGGTTCTCCTCTTTATATAATGGAGGAGTTTTAACCCTAATACAGTCTAAATAAGGTTAAAAAATCTTTTTCTTCCTTTTCTCTCACAAAAACACGAACTACAACCAATATCGAGCGTGATCTGCGCCGTAATATCCGGTTGATGTTGAATATTTCGGTTCTCCCTTTGTCTTCTTTAACCATTTTTTCCTTTATCCTTGATTCTTCGTATTGCTCGAGCTAGAGTCTCTCCGGGTTCAGCCATGCTCGATTCTGTATGCTTCTGGTTCCGATCTGCGGGCACCCTCGGTCTCAATGAAGCTAGTAACGAGTAACGTTGCTCCTCGCTTCTCAACGAGAAATCGAGGGTAACTTTATCCCTGATTCTACCAGTACACAACAAACACCATTTTTCAATCTGAATGTGGTCTAAACTCCACAAAGCTTATCAACATGAAAACTAAACCACTTTCATATTCAACTTAATCCTTACTTAGTCGAAAAGCTAATGGTTTTTTACCACGTTTTATATGCCATAACAGGAAAATCTTACTACTTTTCTGTGGACTACTCTTTCCATATTTTCCAATGATAAAGAATAAAATGGGTACATGTATATTATGTCAAAGTCATTTTCAAACGCTATTTGTGATGTCAAATGTAGACATCTGATTCGCGAAGTAAGTAATTTTAATTGCTTGAGAAGATATTAAGCTATATATGCGTCATATTACATGAACGGACTAGTCTGTTACATTTTGTTCCTTTACAGTCTTGAATAGAAAAAGCTTTAATAACAAAAACGGGGAAGGTTAATCATAATAGAAAATTCTATCATAATTTTTTGCTTTGAACAAACGTACATATTTGATACTTTGAGTAACAATTTTGTGATTATATTATCCCAGATAATATGACAATTGCCTGAAAAAAATGCAGGGTGAGGGCAAGCATGTCGCAGTTTGACGTGTACATTTTCAAATGTCCAATCCTCTTTAGAAGAAAAGAAGAAAACCTCATGTTTCATCCAATCTTAAAAGACAAGGTTTTAGACGATTAAAGAAAGAAAATTTAGCTAGCTAAAAATAGCATATGAGAAATGTAAAATTTACAAAAATCTAAGGAGGTAAAGTAGAATACTTTACACTTCATTCAATCTAAAAAATCCAAGTTATATAGTACCTTATACAACAGAAGGCGCGCGAATTTCGAAGAACAATGAAAATTAGGTTAACTGTTAAAATTAACCGAAACAGAGACGATGATAATGACGAATACATGCATCTATACCACGAAGAAAATTACATATAACTGTTAAAATTTTCCTTTCACCTGTCAATTACTTAATTCGTGGCATTAGAAATCAGTCTGACAGACTTCGGCTTTAATCTTGGATTTATTTGTCATCAACGATTCCACGTCGAAATCACAAGTAACAATCAAATTCTTTTTCAAATCTTTTGCCCAGCTCGTGATCTCCAATGGTGCATGGACGCTCAAGGTCATCATTATCGGCTTCTTATCATCCTCAAGACCTTTCTCAATATCACCAGCCAATTTCCCAACGTCAAGGTTGAAATGTACATTCGTTGAATCTTTAGGTTTTTGGGAAATTGAGGGATATTTCCCTTGTCCAATTTCATGTTTCTTGAAAATAAGGGTAGCCTTCCCGTTATTTCCTTTACCAAACGCTACATCCATTCTCTCGTTCTCGTTAACAATTTTCAACTCGATCTCAAATTGAGGGTGTGGCTGCGGATGAATATTATTGTTTTGGCCATGACCATTTGAAGGGTGTGTAAAGTTCTTAATATGGATATTAGTGATGGAAAATTCAGGACATTTGGGAGTGTACAATGCGCGTATGATCAACACGATATTTCCTATCATGATAGCAAGACCGATTAACACAGATAGGATCCAACAACAACATGTGCATTTGTTTTTCTTTTGAGAATCTGGCTTACGATGATTTTCAACAATTCGGGCATTTTCAGGAGGAGGGACACGATAAACTTGATCACGTGGGATTTGGACAACGTAGGTCTGATCTGGTGAACGAGACGGCGTGAGAGAGAGGCGGAGCGATGTGGTTGATGAAAGGAGATTTCTTGCTTTGCCGTTTACATTGCCGGCAGCTGGTGGTGACCGCTCCTCCATGCCAGAATGAGGAGCGGTAGACGTGAAGTTATTGAGGGACACAAAGGGTAGGTGAAATGATGGGAAGAATGGTTTTTGTTTTGCATGGAAATAGTTAGGAGTGTGCCATAATTGGCATCAAAGGTTGATTGAGAAATTTTGGTTTTTCTTTTTGTGCAACTGAACCGTTAGATAATGTCATTTTTCGGTTAATATGCCACATTAATATGTGAATCTTTGCACTCCAATGAGATACCAGTTTTTCCTATAAAAATTTATTGTGAGTTGTGAATTAAAATAACATAAAAAATGTCAAACAGCAAATAGTTAATCCCTCCACCTTAATTTGTATAGCATTACTCTAAATACGTAAATGTTCTTATCCTCGCAATTGGAGACCATCATTTTTCCAAAACAGAGGAGTACCATTTGTACCGAGAGGTAAAAGTACGAGCTTGGGCCTAAGTGAGAAATATTTCAGAATTATTAGTGAGGTATGTTACGCGGCGCCTTCCTGAGATTCCTTGGAAGGGCGACGTAAGGCTAAGCAACTGATGTCAGTGCAGTTGCTGTCCGCCAACTGAGGTCCCCTCCGTACGCTAGACTAGATTGTCAGTGCCGTACGGGAAAACCAATGTCACGAGAAATTGAGAGAACAGAAATGAGAATTGAGAATGAAAGAAAGCTTGATTGCATTAATGGAAGCTATTACAGAAAGGAAATGCGGTGTCGAGGGGGAGAGACACCAGTACAGAGAATTGTTTGCTTGCTAGAAAGTTTTGATTGTTTGGTCCCCCTTAATAATGCTTAAAAAAAATAATCCAAAGCTACAAGACTAGACTTGATTAAGCTAGAGAAACATAATGAAATTACATGGAATAAAACTACTCTATATTTACAATGAAAAAGACTTAGTTTGCTATAAGGCAGAAAACAGGGCCGTTGTCGGCAGCATAGTCTTTGGCATCAGGATCTGCGCGCGCGGCATTGTCTGCGCGCGCGGCGCTGTTGGCATCTGCCTGCGGTTGGGCGCTGGCGAGGGATATCGGTGGGGCGACAGAGGCACATGCGCGCTTGTCACTTGGCGCGACCAAGACCACGGGGCCGTCCGTGGCGCTAGGCATTGGAAGGCTTGCTAGGACGCCACGGGGCGCGCCCAAGGGGTCATGGGGCACGGCTGGAAAACCGCCCATGACAGGTAGTATGCACTAGAGTTTGGGCCTAAGTCAAACATAATTCTTGTAATAACAGAAACGGAAAATAAATTTCTTGTCAACAGGGGTCTGGAAAATAGTTAATCCCTCACCTGCTAGGACTGCTAGTCAACAGGGGTCTGGAAAAGTTGGAAGATGGAAAATAAATTTCTTGTCAACTCAGAAATGGGAGAACCCACTGATGGGTTGGACATCCACAGGGGATCCATATGCCAATGTTGATGATTCCGCGCTTAGTTTTGAGAGTGAAGAACCTGCAATTAAGGCAAGATAGTCATTATTGTATTGTACCCCAAACGAATTCCACCTAAATCACGGCCATCTCCGTTGAGGCCATCTTAATCATGACTACTGGGTATTCTCATCACTGAACATTTGTGGAAGATATGGATTATACATTTCATGAGCATATCTTTGAGGGTAAACCTGGTAATTTTGTGGGTCATCATAGTAAAACTCATTCTTCTTCATTTCAAATTTTGGGTCATCTTGAACAGCCACCTCTTTACCTGACTCATCTTCTTCACTGCCGCCTGCGGGGGCAGCGCCGCCATCCCCACCACCCTCTTTTTTCTCTTTGGTGTCTCCCTCTTCACCTTTCTTGGCTTCGTTTTCTCCTTCCTCTGATTTCCTTCTTCATTTCAAATTAATCCAAATGCATGTCCAGTGATGGGTTGGGTCAGTAGATTTTGGTTGGGTCGGATTATTAATTATTTAAAAAGATAAAATAGTGGGTTCCGTCAAACTAAGGGCATGAATGAACAAGTATTGGACGGTTTAGGCATATCTGTGCCAAACTAATAACGATGGGCATATCTGTCCTAATTCGCATAATTCACTAACATATTAGGCCCTTTTCTGTAACAGGAATTATTGGTAAAGAGATGTTTTAGTTGTGTCTCATGACAACCTCCAGATATACTGGTCTATAGGTGCATAGCCATAGTAAATGAAGGTCTTAAAAGAGCGCGAAATAGACCTAAAATCAATATGTAAGAAAGTTGTCTCAAAAGACGTACAATCTATTTGAATCTATGCAAAATAAACAAGATAGGGGACGATAGAAGAAAAATATCTATATAGTTGACATCAATTAATTGAAAACATATTGTAGTCAAGTGTCACGACCCAATCCTCCCTCCGTGAGATGTCGTGACGGCACCTAGTCTGTACGATTAGGTAAGCCTAACATTTGCGGAATAATGAAAATGAAAGCATAAATTTAACAACTACTACCACAGAAATGTAAATAACCGATATAACTGCCGCTCAGCATGTACAAAAACCAACTCTCGAATATACGCAAAATTATTCTCAAGACCCGGAACATCATAAGTCACAAGCTTCTAAGAATTTGCCTAACTGTTCTATGCATTAGTATCTAGAAGAAGTAAAGTGAAGAACAACATAAAAGAGATAGAGGGGGACTCCGAGGTCTGCGGACGTGGGCATATGTACCTTGAAGTCTACGGAGCAGCAGCAAGTGTGCAACTAAAACCGAGGCTGGTAGGAGGTACCTGGTCTGCACACGAAAATATGTGCAGAAGAGTAGCATGAGTATACCAAAATGGTACCTAATAAGTGTCAAGCCTAACCTCGGTCGAGTAGTGACGAGGTCAGGTAAAGGCCCTGCTGGTATATATAAATTAAATAAGGCAGAATAAAAAATCGCAGTATAATAAGAGACTAAAATTTAACAAGAAGGCAATCAGAGAAGAATAACAATATAGCACACAGGAATAACAGCAAGGGATCTCCCGAGATACCATCTCGTAGTCCCAAAAGTAAATGTGCAGGGGGTCTCCGGGGATACCGTCCCGTAGTCCCAAAGTAAACATGCAGGGAGATCTCCCAGGATACCGTCCCGTAGTCTCAAAGTAAATATGCACGGGGATCTCCTAGGATACTGTCTCGTAGTCCCAAAGTAAATATGTATCTCAAAACAATGAAAATAACAGTTATAGCAAGAAATCCTACTGTTTTGACTAAATACATGTCAAGTAAATGAAGGAATCCACTAAGTATGTTGCACAGAGTTTAGATAAGCCTTTAAGACATGTAGGTATGCGATTCTAGGCTAAACAGGATACTACACATGCTGGTATAACTCAATTAAAATGAACAGGTTATTACTCAGTAAAAAAAATTGAATTTTACAACAAATAGCCCGTGTATGCACTCGCCACCTCACATACACGACGCTCACATATCACACAGTACCAAATCCTAAGGGGAGTTCCCTCCCCCTCCCCTCAAAAGATTAAGTAAGCCACTTACCTCGAACCAAGCTCAATCAATCGGTAACAATGCCTTTTTAATGAATATCCAACTCTAAATAGCCCAAACTCAGTCAAAAGCAATTACATACTATAAATATAACTATAAGAAATTAATCTAATTAATGAATCAAGACTTAAATAAGAAATTAGAAAATCGCCCCAAAGAGTTGACCTGGGCCCATGTCTCGGAATCAGGTAAAAGCCACAAAATATGAATACCCATTCACTCACGAGTTAACTCGTACCAAAATTATCCAAATACGACGTAAAAATCCCAATCAAAAGTCAAAATTTAATTGAAGAACTTCTCCCATTTCCCCCTAAATTTCTCAACCAAATTCCTTAATTAAATGATGAAATCAACCATAGATTAGTGAAATATAACCATCAAGGAGTTAGGAATCGTTACCCAAAAGCTTCCTCTAAAATTTCCAAAATTATCACCTAAATCCAAGCTCTTAAAATCCCAAAAATAAAAATGGGATAAAACCCTCAAACTTGGCCCTTTTCTGCCCAACGACTTCGCTTATGCGGGTTTCAAGTCACACATGCGACATCCCACCTGTGGAAATTCCATCGCTGGTGCGGAAATAACTTAAAAGGCTGGGTCCGCTTCTGCGACAAAAGGGTCGCACCTGCAGACTTTTGTCCGCTTCTGCGTTCTTCTCCGTTCCTGCGAGTCCTTAAGCACATCTATGGGCATTTCCCTCGCACCTGCGACCCCTGGAAACTCCTCCCATTTCCGCTTATGCGCTTGACCTCACGCACGTGCGATCCCGCACCTGCGGTTTCCCTACCGCAGGTGCGAAAACACCAGAAGTCTAAAAACTTCAGCAATAACACAAGTCCAATTTTTTATCCGTTAAGCACCCGAAACTCACCCGAGGCCCCTGGGACCTCAACCAAACATACCAACAAGTCCTAAAACACCATAGGAACTTAGTCGAGCCCTTAAATAACATAAAAAAGGCTAAAAACATGAATAACCCTCTAATTCAAACTTAATGAACTTTGAAACTTTAAACTTCTACAATCGATGCCGAAACTTATCAAACCATGTCCGATTACCACAAATTTTACACACAAGTTATATTCAACATTACGGACCTACTTCAACTTCCGGAATCGGAATCCAACCCCGATATCAAAAAGTTCACTTCCGGTCAAACTTCCCAAAGATTCTACATTTCATGCCAAATTCAGGTACAGGCCTTCAAACTATAATCCGGACACGCTCCTAAGTTCAAAGTCACCCAACGGAGCTAACGGAACCAACGAATCTCCATTCCGGGGTGATATTCACACAGTTCTGACTACAGTCAAAATCCTAAGACTTAAGCTTCCGTTTTAGGGACTAAGTGTCCCAAATCACTCCGAACCACAAACAAAACCTCCCGGCAAGTCACATAAGCAAAAAAGAGATACAGGGGAAGCAGTAAATAGGGGATCAGGGCTATTACTCACAAAACAAGCGGTTGGGTCGTTACATCCCCCCCCCCTCTTAAAACAATCGTTCATCCTCGAACGAGCATAGAGACATACCTGAAGTATTGAAAAGATTAGGATAATGGTCGGGCATATCATGCTCGGCCTCCTAAGTCGCCTCCTAGACCGGATGAACCCTCCACCGAACCTT